GAGACAGGTCTCGCTCAAGTGATACTGAGTGTCCAGAATCACAAGATTTTAGGGTATTTTCACTTAAGCGAGATGAGTCTTGCTCAAGCGAGAGTAATCTTGCATAAGCGAGTAGAGAACTCGATTAAGCGATGACTCATAGGAAAAACATCCAACTTTCTGGACATCATCTCGCTTAGGCAAGATTGACCTTGGCTCAAGCAAGAATAGTAGAAAAAACTTAAGAAACCACTATTTGGTATTCTCGCCTAGGCAAGAATTGATTTGTCCAAGCGATATTGGGTTTGCTCAAGCGAAAGCACATGAGAATTTAGGGGTATTTATGGGATTCTAGACTTGAGACTTGCATTACAATTTAAGAAACATTTTCTAACTTTTTTTCTCTGAATTCTCTCTTTCCTCCTCTAGAGATAAGCCTCTGAAACTCTGAAGTTACTCCAAATCCGAGTGTAAACCTTAACTCTACGGAATCATTGGTGAGTATCTCAGAGCTTAGCTCTTCATTCTCACCTTTATTTTCTCTATTTTTTCCATTCTCAAAGGATATTCTTTTCTACAATGTGTAGGGAGACCTTAGCTCGTTGGACCACCTCTTTCCACTAAACTTCTTCACTAAATTTGTTCACAAAGGTAAGGAGAGCTTTGTCTTATTGATGAAAACATGATATGTTTGTACTGATTAAAATATTATATAGTGTGATGTATAAATGTGATTATATGTTGGATTGAAACATGTTTCTTTGTGTTTTGATGAGTTGAATGATATCTATTTTGGGCACATATGTATGTTGTCAACTGAGTTTAGAGGTGGCTAACTTTCAGCATTGATTGATTGATATATGAGATAGTTAATGAACTTGAATAAAATAGAGAAAGGAAAGGATGAATAAAAATATTAATGTAGAGATATCAAATTAGATCACAATGAGAAATATTGTAACAGCCTGGCAACAAGACTTTTTAGTGTGCTTTGTCCTCACGCACACACTTTCCAGGAACTTCTCATAAGGTCACCCATTCCATAATTTCCCCAAGTCAAACACGCTTAACATTGAAATTTTTAAGTGATAGGCCACCGAAAAGTAAATGCATTTTGTTGGTATAGGTAGTCCCAATCAATTTCTTTAAGCTATCCTCAACTGTATACATAGTCTCTGGATCTCTCTCATTCCTGTGTAAGTTCGATTCATTCATATGTCTCTTACTACCAGAAGTCTGCTAGGAGCCGCTCCTTGTCCGTGTCACATATTCCACCGGCGATCACTCCCCGTCCTTGCCTGGAAGCTTGCTAGGAGTCGCTCATTGTCTGTGCTACAATGCACCGACGATCACTCCCTACCCTCGCCTAGCGACTGGATATCACATATATGAAAAGAGAGGTAGAATGAGAAAGGAAAGATGATAAGGATAAGTGTGGATAATTCAAAGATACATTGAGAGTGTAAGAGATGAAAGCGATTCTAGGAATCTTGGATAAATAAGAGTGGTAGATGCTCTTCTTGAATTGCGCATAATTAATGAGAGTAAGAGCACTACAAGTCTCACACTCATTTTCTGACATAAACTACTGACCATGCTTTTGCTAAAAGGAGCCGGGTCAACACACGTTGTATTCGTGTAACTGTGTCCAGTAACTATCTATGCTAAGGAAGACCTCAAGGGATTCTAGGGGCAGTGAAAGAGTGAAATGAGAACTCCAAGTATTACTAGAAAGAAAATATGATAAATTGAATGATTGATAAGTATTGTATGCATATGAATATGAATTGTATTATATGATTGATTAATTATCATCCTTGTCTGTGTTACTTGATTTTGTTGTGAATTCATATTTAGTAAATGAGAAGAGAGGCTCATCCTTACAAAACCTTTCAAGAAATAAAGATGACGGACCCTTAGAGACCTGTTAGTTTGTAAGAGTTGCTTAGCACCAGTAGATTATATCATGTAGCTAGGGAGTGAGAGCAGTTGTGCCATTATAGTTTTCTTATACATAGTAATGATGGTTCTAGTATCGTTTTTACCTTAGAAATGACAATTGGCTATGATGTACCTTTTTACTACCCTAACAGTGGTAGAATCCACCATACTGTACTTCTGTTTATATATAGAGGTTTGATTCAACTGTCAAATACATGAAATTATGTCTATACTTTTCCGAGTTATGATTAACATGGGAGACCAAGTCATTACACCATAAAGAGGATCACGGGCCCTAAATTGGTAGCTGATGTGGGTGACCTTGATGAAGATGAACACTTATCCCTAGAGGAAATAGTAGAGATAAAGGGGGGTTGTTTAGGGATGAAGATTAGTATCGTCTTCAGTCTTGTGGTGGACAGACTGCTCATTAGAACTTGTTATATTTTGTATTTTGTAAATAATGTAAATGAGTCCTAATGTATTTTGAAATTATAGTTTGTAAAAATTAAACTCTTGTATATTAATAAAAGTAAATGCACTTGAATATTATTTCAGCCTTTTATTTAAATTTATTTCTATTGTTGTATTACAGAGAAAATTTTACAATTCTAGATGGTTTTAGTGAAGTTTTACATTTTCACATTTTCTCAAATTCTAAGTACCTATGAGTATAATTTAATTTCCTCCCACAGTACAAACTTATTTCTTTAAGCAGTATTAAATAAATAAGGATGTTGCAAGAAACACTGATGAGTGTTGGATATTATGATTCCAAAATAAACTGTGAGCCAATTAGTACAAATAAGCAAATAAAAACAAAATGAGAGATAAGAAAAGTAGAAAACTCTATGAAAATAGTTGGACAAACTTCTTAGATTCACTTAAAGTTGTGAGGAAGGTTTGCAATAATTACCCATCAAATGCAAACACACTATTCCGCATGAATGCTTATCCTTTAATAGCAAACGGTGCAAAATGAGTTCTTATCTGGAAATGATTATAAGAAATACTTTTAAAATTATGGATAATTATTTTTAAAATATAGTAAATATTATTATTCTTATTTAAAGTATTCTATTTTGATTTAATTTTATTTTTGATTATGCATTGTTAGAGTGATTATAGGAAAAAAATTCAACTCCTCCATAAAATTATGAAAAGATTACAATATTACAATTAAGATAAAATATTTAGATATTATTTTAATTATTATAGATGTTATTAATATATGTGTGACCATTATTTTATAGCAAAATATATGAATATAGTCATTAGAGAAATTATAAGGTATACTATAATAATTAGTGAATATTATTATTCTTGTTTAAGGTATTCTATTTTGATTTTTTTTTTTTTTTGATTATGCACTGTTAGAGTAATTATAGGAAAAAGATTTAATTCCTGCATAAAATTTTGAAAGAGTTACAATATACAATTAAGATAAAATATTTAGATATTGTAGAGTTGATTATTTTTAATCATTATGAATGCTATTAGTATGAGTGTGACCATTATTTTATAGCAAAGTATATGAATATAGTCATTAGAGGAATTATAGGGTATACTATAATAATTAGTGAATATTATTATTCTTGTTTAAGGTATTCTATTTTGATTTAATTTTATTTTTGATTATACACTTTTAGAGTAATTATAAAAAAAATTCAATTCATTCATAAAATTATAGAAACATTACAATATTACAAGTAGGATAAAATATTTAAATATTGTAGGATTGATTATTTCTAATCATTATGGGTGCTATTAGTGTGAGTTTGATCATTATTTTATAACAAAATATATAAATATAGTCACCAAAGAAATTATAGGGTATACTATAATAATTAGTATTTATTATTATTTTTGTTTAAAGTATTTTATTTTGATTTAATTTTATTTTTGATTATATACTATTAGAGTAATTATAAGAAAAATTCTATCATATTAAGACGGATTAAGAAGCATATAATATAAAATATGATTTAATATTTATTTTAATTTATTTATTAATTTTTATTTAAATTATTTTATTGTATCTCTAATTTAAACAATTTTTAATTATTAAAAATTTTCATAAAAAAAATACTATTGAAAAAAATTAAAACTAAAAAATATTATAAAATTTATTATTTTTATATTTTTAAAAAATCTTAAAATAACTTGTTATAGCACATATGTAGAAGTGAATTAAATTTAATATATTATATAGATTTATTGAAAACTAAACTAGTACAAAACAGAAAAATTAACTTAAAAATTAAAAAAAGTGAAACTTATATTATTTTTGCAGTTTTTAATAAATTTTATATAAATAAAATATATTATAAAATGTATTGTTAACTTTATTATCCGTCATAAAAGGTTTAAATAAAATAAATTTAATATTATAAACATAAAAAATATGCATAAAAAAAAAAAGGTTTTGCAACTATATTTACGTATTTTTAATTATCTTGTGTAATTCTAATGGATGGACATATAAAGAAAAAATATTGAATTAAAAAGTGCATATTATAATTATTAATAATAAATTTTTTATTATGTTAAATAAAATTATATATAAAATAAATTATGAAATAAATTTAAAAATAAATTTTTAATAAAAAATTCACTTCTAAAAGTACTTTTATTTTAAAAATTTCTTAAAAATATCCTAACTTGAAAGTTTATGCAAATAAGTTATAGGTAAATATTAAAATTTTAAATCATATCTCTGTGAAGGAATGTGCATAACTTTTAGAAAGAAATCTTAAATATAGGAGAAAATTAGATATTATTCTACGTGAATTAGTTTTACGTTTATTAGTTAAAATTAAAATTTAATTTAAACAAAATATCTATATTTAATATTATGACATATTATTAAATTAAAATTTTAAAATTAATTCACAAAAACCTCTTTTGAGTTTATTTGACTTGTCTCGGGGGACGGTAACTTAAATCTTAACACTTACCTTAACAAAACGAGGGCTATAAATTAGATCCTGTCGATGAGAGTGAAAAATGATTGCACAGCACTCGATAAACCCATTCTGGCTTTGTTCCTTCGGTCGTTCGTTGGGTTTCATCTTTATTACTGCGAAACGAAGCGCGTTTCGGGTTCAGAACTTTTGATGGGCAGTGAGTGAGATGGGTAAATGGGATCACCGTCCTTCACGAAGGTTCTTTCGCCGGCGAAGATCTCCGGTGCCTCCCATTACATTCTACGACATCAACGCTCCTCTTCCTGGTATTTCCCGAACTTCTATCTTTTTCCCATTTTTTTACCTCTCTTCGTTTCATAGATGAGTTAGAATCCCTACATTGACACACGGTGAATAAGTGGCTCATAGGCATAGAATTCACTTTGGCACTTAATATTGGAACACTAACGGTTAAATCTCTGAAAATTGAAGTATTTGATTTCCACAAAGTAAAGAAGTGGAAAGGGCGTTAAATTATCCTTTTTATTTATTTATTTTATCTGTCCATGGGAATCCTCACAATCATCAACTTTTCATAATTGTCAATTTGGAATGAGAGTAATCTTCATGTCCTTGGTTCTCCCAAACCTTCCATTCCATCCAAATGCACCATTAGGCAACTGAATGGGTCAAAGAAAAATGTTAAGGGATTAGATGATTACACAAGGTTTAAACCCTAATATTCTGGCACACAGATAAAGTTACAAGAAGAAATGATGTTGGTTTTGTTATGTATAAAAATTGGAATATATTGTGGTTGATGGTATAATGATTGGAGATAGAATAATAGGTTGTCAATGTGCTTCACATTTGACATTATAAGTATATAAACCTGCAAGTAAGGACTAAATGAACAATGAAATCTGAAGTCTTGGAAAGATTTCACTGGGATAGTTTGAGAGGTTCAAGAATTCCTTGAAAAAAACAAAAAAACTTAATTGCACTTTTGGTCCTCTGCTTTAGTCTATGTGTGATTTTTGGCTCCCTAATTTTAATTGTTTGCATTTAGTCCTCCTAGTTTCTCAATAATTAAAAGATATGTAACAGAGGTGTGACAAATCATTGATTTGTAACGAAATTCATTTTTTGTTTTTTTATCTTTATTTGTTATTTTTCTTTACAAATCTATGCAAATCAATAATATCACACTTAGATTACATTTCTATTAATTGTTGGATGAAATTTTAGAATGAGTGACTTAAATTGAACAATTGAAAAATTATGAGACTATATATGAGCAATTAAAATTAAAGGTACCAAAATTGCACGTAGAATAAAGTCTGGGGACTAAAACTACAATTAAGCCATAAGAATAATATTTTCATAGAAGTGGATCTGAATTGTAAAGCATGAAGAAATGCAACGAAGCAAGGTTTTTCATGGTTGATAAGTAAGTTATTTGTGAATCAAATAATAATGGGAAAATATATTGTTTGCTTTGCAATGACTTGTGATTTCACAATAACTAAGCAACACTTTTTTTGGGATTCTGGAGGAGCATCTTATCAATATAGTGAGAAGATGCCCATTAAACTTCCAATGAGAAATAGAGTATAGTTTGACTAAAAGGGATTTAGGAAGACCTAATAGAACTTTAGAGAAACCATATGAAAAAACCCCCCAAATTGAATGGTTTTATTAAATATTTGGTAGTTGATACAGCCAAATGGTGTTGGATTGATCTATATCCAACCCTACCTTCTAAGATATTCAAATGTTGTATGCATAAATTCAATCAGCAAGGTGAAAATGTATAATGTCAGGATTCTGATTTCCTTAATTCTTGATTTAATTATTACTTTTACTGACTTGTTACTAGTTTTCCTTTAATAATGTAATCTTCCTTGATTTATTGCTAGTCTCCCTTGATAATGTAATCTTCCTTTACTTGTACTTTTCCAAAGTTATCAATTGCATGCTATAGCACCGTAGCAGTGGGGAGTGGCCATGGGTCGATACAATGTTTGAACAACAGTGCCAAAAAAAAAAAACAGTGCATCTTTTTTTGCAGATGCAATAGCAGCCATTTTTCGGGGAGGGGGGAGGAGAGTAGGGATGAAGTTGAGATTTTCCTTCCCCTTTTCAGAATTAAAAAAAATTCCCCTAATTAGATGCACGTTGCTGTGCTTCTTTCTCCGATTACAATATGGTTTTTCAATCAAGTCTAACCAAACAGACTGGCTTGGAGAATTCTGACCTTTCTCCAATTACCCAAGTGAGATGGGTATTCAACATAGGATAACATGCTCTCACACACATCATCAAAATGGTTTTGTTGAGCACAAACACAGGCAAATTACTAAAATCGGTCTGGCATTATTGAGCCATGCTAACGTGCCATTGAAGTTCGGGATCATGCCTTTCTTGCAGCTATTTATCTAATAAACTGGTTGTCCACTGCTGCTCTTTATTTTCAAATACCTTACATCAAGATATATAATCAAATACCTGACTACAAGTTATGCAGAGTATTTGGCCATGAATGCTTTCCTTTCCTTCAATCCTTCAACAATCCCAAGCTTAAGTATAGATCATCTGAATACTTTTTTGATAGGTTCAAAAATGTATATAGCAGGAGAAAAAAGGGGAATAGTTGAAGAATCATAAGTTGTAAACTAACTAATTCAGTTAGTTAGGACAGCTAGCTCTTTTAGCAATATAAATAAGAGCTCAAGGTTAGGGAGTGGAGTTTTTTGGAATACAACTAGGCTGGTTTGGAGAGTGAGGTCTCTCGAATTATCTCAGGGCAATGCAATTGTGTAATTCTTCCTATTCCTAATCTAGACCACATTGGTGTAGCATTGGAAATTAGGGTTCTGCAATAAAGAGGCATTCTTTTATATTGAGTTTGATATTCAATTCTATCAACTGGTATCAAAGCACCGGTCCTGCTGCTGAGTTACGAGATTGGGAAAGTTGGGTGCATGGGAAGAACGAGAATGGAGGCAAGAATCAAAGCCTTGGAGCGCACACTTCAGAATTTGAATTGTGATTGTGATATACAAGAAAACATACAAGATGAATGATTTTAGAAGTTGGGAGATATGATTTTGAATCTCACAAACATCGTAGGGGATTTATCACAAAGGAATTGCAGTTGCCGAAGAGATCGGCAAGCGGAAGATTTGGATTCAGATTTAGTGCAGGAGTAAATGATTCCAATCAAAAAGACACAATGGTGAAAACTTGAGATTCCTGTTTTCACAGGTGAGGAGGGGTATGGATGGACGAACCATTTGGAGAGGTATTTTCAGTTAAGGGGAGTTCAAGAAGAAGATAGGATGCAGGCAGTGATGGTAGCACTGGAAGGTAAGACTTTGAATTGGTTCTGATGGTGGGAATCTTGCAATCCTAATCCTACATGGGATTCATTCAAAATGGAAGTGGTAAGACGATTTCAACCAACCATGATGTAAAATCCTTTTGAAATTTTCATTGGGCTGAAACAAATGGATTTAGTGGGGGAGTTCGCTGAACAATTTGAGAAGTATGCGGGTTTCTCGAAGGGAAGTGATCAAGATTATTTGGTGAGAATTTTTTTGAATGAACTGAAGGAGGAAATCAAGATAGAGGTAAAATTGTACAAACCTGACAATTTAGCAGAACTAATGATGAAATCCCAAATGGTGGAAGAAAAAAAAATCAGGTTTCAAATAAGGTTGCAACACAGCAAGGGAACAAGACAGGCAATTCATTCAGGTCATACACTGGTACCTGAAGTTATACCAGAGAAACAGGGATGCATTCATCAAATTTCTGCAACAATAAAGGAAAGGGAGCGAGTTCAGACATAACAAGCAGTGCTGGTAGTAACAGCCAGGTGGGGAACAGAAACAGAGGTGCGGCCTTTAGGAAATTGACAGATGAAGAAAGATTAAAAAGGGATTATGCTTTCGCTGTGACGAAAAATTTGGCCCCAACCATGTTTACTAAAATAAACAATTACACATGTTGCTCATAGAGGAGGAAGAACGAGGAGGATCAGCGGAAGTGATGGGGGCAGAATGGGTAGAAGAAGAAGGCATGGAAGCTGAGAAAACATTGCAGATATCTATGTTGACGATGGCTGGTCTAACTTCTAGAAATTTTTGAAAGGTGTGGGGAATGATAGGGGAGGAGAAGTTGATAGTCTTGATCATATCTACTGAGTTGATGAGAAGATGCAATCTGGTTAAAGAAGTAACTCTTCCATATGTAGTTGAAGTAGGAGATGGACATAAGGTGGAATGTCAAGGGATTTGAGAGGCTTTATACTGCAGCTGCAAGGATTAAAAATTACTCAACATTTCTTTCTGTTTGAGCTTGGGGGAGCAGATTTAGTTTTGGGGAGGTTAAAGCTGATTTTGGCAAGTTGATTTTGACTATTGGGAAGAGACAGCAACAAAGAATTCTAGTAGGAGATCCAACCTTGTCCAGAACCAAAACCTCAATGAAGATGATGATGCAAGAATTGAAGGGAAGGGGAGACAGGTATTTGGTGGAATTAGTAGAAACCAATTCTTCAGAGAAAACAGTGGCAATTCTGGCAGTCATTGAGGAAGTGTTAAAACAATATAATGAGTTATTTCAAGACTCAGAAGGTTTACCTCCCAGCAGAAACCATGACCATGCTATACATTTGAAGGAAGGGGCATCTATACCTTAGTATAAGACCATACTGGTACCCTCACTATTAGAAAAAGAGATTGAGAAGCTAGTACATGAGATGCTTAAGGCAGGGACTATAAGACCTAGTATTAGCCCATATTCGAGCTCAGTTTGTGCTGGTTTTTTTTAATGATATATTAGTGTATAGCCCCTTGGTTGAGCTGCACTTAGCTCATTTGAAAGGGGTGTTGCAAGTGTTACAAGTACACAAATTAAAGGTGAACCAACAGAAGTGTACCTTTGGGCAGCAAAGTCTGGAATATCTAGGCTTAGCCATATTATTTCAGCTAATGGTGTCTCAGCTGGTCCAAAAAAGGTAGAAGCAATGTGGCTTTGGCCTGTCCCTAAAGATCTCAAAAGTTTACGGTGATTTTTGGGTTTAACTAGCTACTATAGATGATTTGTGCGTGGTTATGGGAAAATTGCACCTTTGACTCAGTTATTGGAGAAGGATGGTTTCAAGTGGAGCAGGGAAGCATAAATGGCTTTTGAGGAGTTGAAAACAGCAATAACCCAGCTACCCATTCCGACAGTCCCTGACTTTGTGAAACCTTTCGTTGTGTAGACTGATGCCTCAAGTAAAGGTTTAGTGGCTGGTCTATTACAAGAAGGCTAACCT